TTCAGGGAGTTGGGGAGGATGCTTTCTGTTGCAGGTTATTGTTCTCTCTTGCTGCTTGATGCCCCATTCTCATAGGTTAGGCTATTTGGAGTTATTGCTTCTCTTTGGGGTGGATTGCTTGGTCCACGGTCACTTATTGCTCGATTAGGCTTGTGAGGATGGATGCATCTCAGATGGAGTTGTGCAGGGACAGTGCTCTTCTCGTTTCAAGTATGTGTCCATGGTTGCCCTTGCGAGTGTGAGAAATTGGGTTTAGTGGTCCTGGATCAGCCACTCGCCTCTTGCGTAGAAGTAGATTTTGATGTGGTTCTGCCTCCGGTGGAGGTGTGCACTGTGTCATCCTTTCCGCCTCTGCGTATTCTAGTCTCTCGGTGGTTATCGGGCCTTGGTATTAAGTGTGTCTTCATAGTGTATGGTTTTGTTGAGGTTGTGGCATTGTTAAGTTGAATTGGTGTTTTTGCTCTTCATGGAGCTTTAGAGGAGAAGTAAGACTAATAGTGTTAGTACTTGAGGTTTGAAGGATTAGTTAGCTCTGTGCTTGCCGTGCCCTAGGAAGAGTGAGCTGCTGCTAACACAGGATTTGGTTTAGAGGTTTCTCGCTGTTCTAGCTCATGGAAATGCTCCTTGAGTGACTCTCACTTGGCACAGTTGGTGCAAGTGATCGAGAACTGTGAGGTCGTTGCCGTTGACGGTTCAGTTTTTGAGCCTCGTGTGAAATGCTTCTACTGCTTCGTGGTTTGCGTCATCTCTCTCGCTTCTCTCTGCTTACGCTTCGCGAGATGTGGACTTGGGAAGAACATTTTAATATCGTCATCACTTCGTCGTATTCCAAATGCCTTTGGTTTTGTTGACGCGACGGACTGAAAACTGGTTGAAACTACGTATCCATATTTTTAATTCTTTTTTGCCGTGGATGCATGATCATTAGCTTATAGTCATCGAGTGTAAGCTAAGAACATTTTCATTGATAATGAAATATTTACCTTTTAGCAAAAAAAAAAAGAATAAGCTGAACCTTAGATCAACACATGAGATTTTTTTTACCTAGAATTGGAAAGGGTTCATCTGTTTTCGGTTTTCCATTTCTGTGCAAGAGTTCTAATGTGCTTCCACGCCCTTTTAAGGTAATCATTCAATTTTACTTTCTGTGGTAATTCCTGCCATGGAAAATATATTGATTCAAACAGTTTATTTTGACCTCATTGCATATCTCTCAGAAGAGAATGATGCTATCGAAAAGCATGTTTAGAAGATTGTATGTTTTAGGATTGTCTAACCTAAGATTTATAACAAAGCCCAAACGGAAATCACCATATAGCCCATGAGCTCAGAGGCAAGAAGCAGTAGCTATCAAACAAATAAGAAATTGGTTAAACAAGGTTAATTAGGGATCATATATAATGCAAGCCAGCTATGTGTTTTATTGGTTATTATATACATATCTACATTTTAATCATCAAATTGGTAAATAAAAAGGAAAAATATATATATGCTGGTAATAAACTAACCACTCCTCATAATAAGCATCATTTTTGCTACATCTATTGCTAATAGGCAGAATAAACAAAAAAAAAAAAGTGTTTAGCATCCAAAAAGGATTAGTATAGTGCTTTCTCACTGAAAGCTTTTTATAGGGGTTTTCAAAGGTCCACTTTCAAGCACAAACTAATAAAGATAATAGTTTAATAATTATGGTTAAAAGTAATGTATGTTTATCTTATTTTCACAAAACACTAACATCTAGACAACTTGAACATAGTTTCTTGAACATATAAAATACCTTTTTGAAATTTGAGCTTTACTTGGAAAAGGAGATGAAGTTAGTACAACTAGAAAGTATAAAACCAAACAAACGAAATTCTTTCAGTAAATAATCTTAAAACAAGTATATAGAAAGAAGTCCAGCTTTCACTTTGACAAATGGGGGACAAAAAGGCATAGCGAAAAAAGCTAATTAACTTTACCAGTCATGTGATGAAGGTGGATAGGTAGTGTTTATATGATCTTTTTCATGAATGATGTTCATGAAAATATGATATTCCTAGACAGTCCCTTCAAATCACCAAACAAAATAGCTCAAAACCATAAAATTTTGAAATACTTACTTGGAGCAACCACATTTGCTTCATTATTCATGAAATATTGTACTGAATGGAGTATACTATAGTGATTAGAGAAAGAAATGAGAAGAAGCAATCTACGAACCTCAAAACCTAAAAGAGAGTTTGCTACACCACTCGCCATGTTCTTCGAGTTCATCGTTTCCCTCACCAGCAAGCATCAAGGAGAAGACAATAAGAAAATCTGAAAGACCCTGTAAAGATAACATTGTTGCTTTTAAGAAAGGTAGTAGCTAAAGCAAACAGGCTAAAGTGTTTGATCTTTTCACGAAAGTGTAAGAGTTTAAAGACAAAAGACTGGGGAAGCTTTTTTGCATGAAAAAGTAAGTCACATGGCCTGACTAAAAAAAGTACGAAGATCTCTGCATGAATATATACGTAAGAAACATAGAATAATCTTGACAAAAGCATCATAAAAAGCTGTGCATAGCTCTAAAACACATGGTTGGGGTTGGTAAGTCAGGTCTTTAAAATGAGTTCCAATAAAGAAAATATTAAGCTATCCTTGAGCAAACCTTATAAGTCGCCTTTAGATCTGCTATTTGTCTTAAGCCTTTTGTACTTATTCTAAATTGGTAGTACTTAACATTAAGGAAACACTGACCTATACCTTAAAGCTTCAAAATTGTCCCTATCTTTTTCAGAGTCACGGAAAATTAAGGCACACATGGATTTCTCTCAGAACTATATAATAACACATAAAAAGGGGATTGATGCTAAGCTGGAAACTTGAGGACGTGGTTAATTTGAGATGCGAGATTTATAAGATTCTATGTAAGTATAAACTATAGCCTGATGGATGTGAAGAACACACAACTTGAGATAATTCTGAAACAAAAAAAAATAACAATCAATAAATTCTGCATAAAAGTCTATAATTTTGACGATTTAATTCCCACTATATAATATTGTGAGCAGATAGATCTTTCAGTATATCTTTTGACTTTCGAATAAACCATATTAGGTGAACCATCATGGACTAGATCATTGCCATTTCAACTCTCTAGTTATTCTAACAACAAGAACATGGAAAATCTGTAAGAATTTCTTTATACATATGACCAAACAAACTAACAAGCAACACTCCACAACAACAAGATCATCTGACTATCACAACTTAGCATCATGCAAGTTTAATAACTTGTAATAACCAAAAAGATGAGATTACCTGTATATATTGAACTGTCGCGACTTTCGATAGCAAACTCTTATGGCTTTGAAACTGAATCATGGTAACATGAGAGGCATCTCATTGCCAATGTATTTAAGACTTAAATATGACTTATAATTATCATTTATGGTCGAGAAAGTGGGATAGTTATATGTGTTTGGACATATAAGTCCCAAATGGCTGACCAATCCATTGAATTAAGAAACTCACGAATAAAATATCACTGAAATCACCAAAATAGTAGGAGATGGTAGAACAACTCCACTATGTTTGTCATCCACACAAGAGAGTGGCTTGGAAGAGGAATATGATTAGCATCAAAACCTGCATCGTTTGACAGAATGGCAGTTAGTAAAGGATCATATCTCAACCACATTGTGTAATATGAAACCAAATCTGCAAGTCAAGATCTTACTATAGATAGTGGATTTGATGAGAACATTGTTTATAGTCTTCTTTATAACATTATTTTATAACGGGTTCGTATTCAAACTTCCATCAGTAAGATTCCCTATTTAGTAAGAGGAAGAAGGAAAGACATATAACAAGAAAACATATCTTTCATTGCATTGTGTACCAACAGAATCAAGACTTAAACAATCAAGTTCGTAGCACATCCAAAATGAGACTCTCTATATTTCCCATCACACAAAAATCCTAGCAATATTATTTATAGCTTCCACTTCGATTTAGAGATATGAAGAGATAGATGTAAACTTCTCAGTTATGAGAAACATAGAGAAAACCTTATGTATAGTATAGCTAGGGTTTGATTAATTAAAGGTTAAGTGAATATGTACGTAACAAACCTTTTCCTAAAAAATCCGCATGGTTTAAAGTATGAGGAGTTTAAACGGGAGATAAGCCGCAACCAAGTCCACACGGGAGAATATGAGAAGTTTAAACCAAAATCGGCGTGGTTTAAGTTTCTAGAAAAAAAAAAGTAAGGAAGAAAAACTAAGATGGGTAAGAATTGAAGATCCAAGGGGAGGAATTGAAGATGAAGATTAAAGATTAGTGGTTTAGTAGTTTAATTTTTTTTTTCTTAATTCTTAATTTATGGACAAAAAGAGCTAGAGTTCGTGTTGAATTTATCGTTTTTCTTGTTTTAAAAGTCAAAATACTTCGTATGTTGAATTTAAAAGTATTTTTCAAG